AGTGATCAATATTCTGGCAAGAGTTGTACATTGTGATACATTTGTTACAACTGATGACTTAGGTTGACATGTATCACCCAAAGTCCATAGTTTACTTTAGGGTTCACTATTGGTGTACAGTCTGTGAGTTTGAACAAACATATAATGCCATGCATCCACCATTAGGGTATCATCCAGAGTAGTATCACTGCCCTAAAAAAATCCCTCTGTGCTCCACCTCTTCACCCTTCCCTCCCTTCCTCTCTCCATTTTTCTTTAGCACTTCCTTTTTGGCATATCATGATACCAAGCTTATCTCTACCTACCCTGCCCCAGCCTCGGAATCAGCCATTTCTCCAAGGAGCTTTGGTTCCAGTCAGTGGGGAATAGTATTAGAGGCCAAGATCTGAGCAGTAGGTGTACTCTTTGGTCCTTGGCCCTTTCCGTGGATAGAGCAAGGGAATATACAGTATGTATGTATACATGTACATACATGTACCTAGACATAAACATGCAGTGTACATATACAGATTTGATAAACCTGTCTGTCATCTTCATGTAAGTTAAAACCGTTGCATCCAGGCTTTATTAAGGACAAACCCCAGTGACATCATTGAGCACTTTTTAATTGAGCAAACATTGAGGGGACCTAGAAAGTGTTGGATGCAGGATGTTGTGATGAACAAGGCAGAGAGGGTTCCTGCCTTCACAGTCTGGTAGGAAGGACAGCTAATTGTACAGATAAATTCAGTGTAGTATTACTTTCTACTTGAAATTGCACATACGTAGCCATTAGAGGAAGATGGAACAACCTGGAAGAAGAATTCATTTATGTTCCAAGCACAGAACACTAGGATAGTGATTGCCTAGGGGTGAAAGTGTGCCTTTGTGGACAAACTGAAAGAAGTTTATTATGGCTGGAGAAAGTGTCAAGGTAAAGTTATACATCCATCATCAGATAGGCAGTGCGAGTGTAGATATTAAAAATATTTAGGAACTACTTTTCTATAATGTAGTTCATGTTAATCTAAATTATCTGTAGGAATGAAGAGCTCTTCTGTAGGGACTGTATCATTCAACTTCATTATCTCTGGTACTTAGCAAGGTGCATGGCAGGAAATAGGCCCTCAAATAATCAATTGTATTTAGAAAGCTTTGGTGAAATTAATGGTTAACATATGTTAGCAGGTGAATTTGATCTGGAAAACTGCTTAACGGCACTAGATTTGCAGTCAGACTGCCCAGGTTGAATCCCAGCTCCACTGCTTTCTAAGTTGATTATTTGAGATATCTTTCTAAGCCTTGGTTTGCTGAACTATAGAATTGATATAGTATATACCATAGGCTGTTGTGAAGATTAAGTGAGGTGATTAATGTTAGTATTAAGCATACTTAATACAGTACCTAGTACATGATAAATGCTTAAGAAATGTTATGGGTTATTAGTTCATATAATAGTTTTATTGGTTCATTTAGCAGACCCTTGCTGGCTTCCATTTCCCACCTTTGTATTAAACTTTAAAATTGACTTTGTTATTTGCGCTCTCAATGTTGGTATAGCATATAGGCAATTAATTCTCCAGCCACTTAGCCAAGGTGTTAGATACCTGAGACTACCATTCACATTGCCTTTTTCTTCACTATTGTTTTGCCTAAGAATTTGTGGAAAATACAGTAATGTCATTGTCTACCATTTGGCTGAGGATGTTGGTAGACTGTCGATACATTGGGGTGGGGGAGATGTAATTCCTCAGAAGGAAGTTGGGGTGCTAACTAAGAAAGGGAACTGGATACTAAGGAAACCAAAACACATCAAATGTATGTTGGATCAGTCCCAAGACCTTACAGTGAAACATGGACTTGGAGAGCTAAGGTGGCATGATTCTGTCACCATCAGACCTGGTTAAGTTAAGGTATAACTTGAATATTATACAACTTACAAAATTAAAGTATACAATTCAATGGTTTTTAGTATATTCACAGTTGTGCAACCAATACTACAATCAGTTTTGGAACATCTTCATCACCCTAAAAAGATTCTTTTAGCAGTCACTCCTCATTTTCTCCTAGCCCTAAGCAGCCACTAATCTATTTTCTGTCTCTGTGGACTTAACCTATTTTAGACATTTCATATAAATGGAAATTTATAGTATGTGGTAGCTTGTGGCTAGCTCTTTTGGCTTAGCATATTTTCTTAAAGGTCATCCATGTGTTAACATACCAATACTTCATTCCTTTCTCTTGTTGAGTAATACTCCATTATCTGGCTATACCACATTTGGTTTATCCACTCATCAATTGGTAGGGCTCTTTACACTGTTGTTATGAATAATGCTACTAGGAACATTAATGTACAAGTTTTGTGTGGAGGTGCTTCACTTTGGGGGGTATATATCTGGGAGTGGAATTGGGGGTTCATATGCTAACACTGTTTAACCTTTTGAGGAGCTGTCAGACTTTTCCAAAGTGTGTACACATCCCCACTAGCATTGCACGAGGGCTTTGATTTCCCCACATCCTCACATACGTGTTGTTATTTGCAGACCTAAGTTCAAGTCCTGGTTGTAGCATTTCTTTGTGACCTTGTGCTAAACAATTAATCTCTGAGGATCCATTTTGTCAGTTGTGCAAAAAGTACCTAACTTGAAAGGATATAAATACAGCCTAAGGTGTCTAGCAGGGTACCTGGCACACAGCAGGTGTTTCGAGAATTTTTTGCTCCCTTTTCTCCTCCTCCTCGGCAGCTTCCCATTATTTCTGTCCTCTTGGGTTTCAGAGCTGTCTGAGCCTGACTTGAGTGTTCTTGCTTCATATAACCTAGTCTGCCTAGGAAACAGTGGTGAGAGACAGTGTGGATGTGCAATCACCAGACTCATCGTAATGGCTGTCATATGGGGCAAAATACCAGTGCATCCTAACTTAGACACTAGCTTGCTTACTTCGTTAAAGCCTTACTTCATGTCTGTAGTGCGTAAGCCCTGTCAAAGCAAGCAGAGGAATTTAGAAGTCAGTGGCCTCAATCTAAATCAAAACACATACCCAAATTGTGAGTTAGGATACCCCCAATATAATTCTACCCTGCCTGACTTCATTGAAAATTTTTATAGTTTTAAAGGACCTGGTTCAGAAAATCATTAGAAGACCTTTGGAGACCATCTAGGCCCCCACACTCTCCCCCCCCCTTTTTTTTGCTATAGAACTGAGTAGTGTGCAGATGGTCTGTTCAAAAACCATAGAAGAGGCCCTGGCTGGGTAGCTCAGTTGTTTAGAGCATCCTCCTGATACGCCAAGGTAGTGGGTTCGATCTCCAGTTAGGGCACAACCAATGTATGCATGAATAAGTGGAGCAACAAATCAGTGTTTCTCTCTCCCTCTCTCCCTCCCCCCCCCCC